TTTACTTTCATCCCATTAAAAAAATTTATTATTATTGTTTTTATTATTATTATTATTGTTATGATTGTTATTTGTTGTCATTATTATTATTAATATTTGTTATTGATATTATCTATTAGTATTTTTACTATTTATTATTCTAATTATTCGCTACACTGTTTGCTTTACAATAAAAACAAATGATGATAATAATAATTAAAGCAATAAGAATAATTAACGCTAAATTTTTTTTCAGTTGCATGAAAATCTAACCGTCAAAAACATTAGGTTAGATCAGAACTGATATCAAATGAAAATTGGTGGGAAAAACCTTTTAGAGAATTATATTCCCAGTTACAAACATAATAATAATTAATGAATGTAAAACACGTCTAAATTATTTTCCACAACAAGGCGGAAAATTGCATTTAATAATATATGTGACGTAAAAATCAATTTGTAGAAGTGATTAATTGATTAATTCTATTAAAATGATCATTTTAAATGCAATTATTATGTATAATATTTAACTTGACTTAGGGCTAAGTGCTTTAGGACTAAACCTGATTCCTTAAGTGCTGAAGTAAGATTGGACTACTCAATTCAAATGCATTAGCGCCATCATCGAAGTGAAACATCTTGGTTGCTGGAGCAATAAGTGCTGCTAAAGCTGCCGTTTGAATCCGAGCTGCATCTAAATCTGCTTCGATCTGTTCCAATGCTCGAAATGCCTATAAATCAAAGCAAATAAATAAATAAAACAAAATATTAATTTTCTTCTGTCAACTTTGATGTTAGAATGAATAAATTTTGATTACTTGCAATTATTTCGGAGTTAAGATTTACTAACCAACAAATATTTCAGATATAAAAAGGATTTAAGAATTGTCTCTAGTTAAACACGTAGCTAAGGTATTTCAATAGTACTTCGAAGGTAGACTTTACTTTTTATCAATTCAAACTTAGATTTAAAAATTATAAATAAATGTTATGAAGGGAAAAAATATGAATCACAAAAATAATTAGAAATCATGATGATTAAATAACTCACAGTAAACAGTAAATATTATTTACGTGAATATTAGTGCAAAATAAGTAGTAATACAAAAATTCATTTTAAAAATAACGAACGAACTTAAAACAGGTAACTAATTACTATACATGTCAATTAATTAAGTGCATATTTGTAATACCAAAATCGAACAATTAAAATTTGTGTAATTAAATTCAAATTTTTTGATCCCTTTGCTTTATTTTCTTACAAATATTTACTAAATACTTTGACAAAAAAATTAACTCAGACAGAATTATTATGAATGATAAAACTGTCCTATTCGCAAATTTTAAAAATTTTTATATTTTTGCAATGTAAATTTTGGTAGGAAAAAAAATATGCCAAATACGATAAAAGTATATGACAAAATGTTTATTTTCGCTTACGATTTTGAATTGGAAAGCAATAAATAGCTCTGTTTCAGATTTTTATTATTTACAAATATACTTTCAGCCATATTAGAAAATTTGACTTTTATACTATTCACTTTGTGTAAAAAATTTGCTCAATTTTGCGTTTTTTTGCTATCCATTTCTTAAATTCAATTTAACCCTGTTTTTTACAATAAATCATTAAATCTATTTTGAATAAATTTAGTTTGATTACTTCAATTCTTATTTGACTGTAAAATTGATAATTTTCATTTCAAACAATTTTTATAATTTTGATTCAATTATCAAATTTAAAAAATAGGTAGCATAAATCATAAAAATAAGTAAATTGATTAGAACTTATTTATATTTTTTAATAATTATTAAAGGTATTAATATTGAATAAAATAAATTTTTTCAAAAAATAGTATGAGTACTTTTTGTCATTCAGTATTCAAACATTCTTTTTAACTACCTTCAAGTATAATTATTCATAATTTTAAAAAAGACTAAAAATATTTTGCCAAATTAATAATAATAATAATAAGTTGTTTGAAATTATTTAGTTTTTTGATATTTTGGCTCCTGAAAAGTGCAAGTAACAATAATGAATTATTTGAGTAAAATAACTGAATAACAAACCCAAATGGTTCGTTAGTTTGTTCATCTAACAAAAATGGATGAATAAACGTAAAAATATGAAAAACAAAAATATAAACCTAATTAAAAAATAAGATAAAGCATTTACTTTTGAATGTTATGACTGAAAAAATAGCTCAAATTAAATTATCAGCTTAGATAATTTATAATTTATTATATTTACCATTTTGCATAATGACAACTATATGCAACATATATTTTTGCTCTGCATATTTTATGCATATTATAGTTATTTGCATATGAAATTAATAATTTAAAATTTTATTTAATTGAACAAGTTAGAGTAATCAATTTTTTAATAATGTTTGATAATTTTTTAACTTATAATAAAGACAACTGTAATTAATCATTAGATAATTATTTAATAATAACTGATTATTTACAAGAAATAAGTATGAATTTCCTTTGCAGTCAACTAGTTAACTCTTTTATATAGCAAAAATTTTATTTATTTCCTAAACTTTTTGATTTATTTATAGAATAAAAATCGGTTTATTTCCTTGTTTTGCATATGTTATAAAAATGAAAAAAAAATAACAAATTCGTTATCACACTCTAAAAAAAGCTATTGCAATGGAACGACTAAGAGAAAAATGCAAAAATAATGACTTTTACTTTTGAATAAAATCACAAATAATTGTTTTTGTGTACTTTTACATATAATACATTTGCAGTTTACTTTTAAATTTGTAACAAATTTGCACAACTTCCTGAAAATGTAATCATTTCCCTTAAATATGCCTAAATAATTAAAAAGTTTAATTTTTTTTTTTGCTCATTTTTGTACATTTTTTTTGAAGTTTGTTTATTTTTAAAATACGAATTCAAATCATTCAAAGTTACCAAAATTTGTAGTCTACCTATTAAAATTTTAAAAGTAATATGAATAATCACACTTAAGTAGTAGTAATTTATGCAAATATGCTAAAAACAAGCATAAATAACTTGCTAAAAAAGCAAGCATTGAAAAAATCCGTTCCTTTAATGCCAAAAAAGCATTTATTTGCATGAGCACAACAAAAAAAGTCTCTTCAATATTTTATTTCTTTTATTCTTATCCATTTTATTAAATTTATATATTTTTATCCTTTCAATCTGAGTCTTAATCTAACGTCAGAATTTATTTTTTTTTAAATTAAAAATACATTTTTGCTTATAAAATGCAAGCTTTTTATGGCAATGTCAGACTGCAAAAAATATTATTTACTAAAAATGCATGTACTCAAGTAGAGAAAATTCAAAAAAAACTGCCACTTATCGCTGTGAAATACTTTTCAATTTTCTAATCAAAAATGAATGCATGCAGTAAGTAAGTAATTATTAATATTTTTTAAGTATAAATAAAAGTATAAGAAAAAATATTATAAGTAAAAACTCACTTAGTTAGCAAATTGTATCTCGATGAAAGTTAGATGAAATTGATAGCAATAGCATAACAAATATTTTGCATGAATCATCATAAACAGTGTAAGTTAGTTTCAAACTTGAATCTTTTTTGGTTATTGCTTTCTGATAACAATGAAAGTAGCAGTAATTTTTGTCAGAAATGGTACTCTTAAAAAGTGAAGGCTACTTTGAATGAGAAAGAAATAATGCAAGTAAAAATGTAACCTCAAGAACAGCCTCAGGCGTGATACCTGTCAAGCGTAATCGTCTGATCAACTCGAGCTGCTCCACCGTGAACAGACTCATTTTTTGTTCGATCAAATCTACAAATATAAATTTAAAAGACAATCAAAGTTCACTGAACAAAAAAAGATGCAATTTCAGCAAATATACATCAGATGTACTAATTAGCCAACGTAGCCAAATATTATAAGAATTAATAAAAAGTGAATTAGTATAAAAAGAATATAAACTGATGCTCATAAAATTAATACTTGAAGGGGCCAAAAGACATTTTTTAAGACTAATTTTAACAAATAAAGTTCATACTCAGTCAGAATTATTAATTTAATAATAAGAAACAATAAGGATTAGTAAGCGCAAACAAATACTTCCTAATTACAGTTGATTTTATTCTAAATTTATTGTAATATATTTAAAAAATGATTACAATTAGATTCTATAAAAAGTAATTGAAAATTGATAAAATATATTCAAGTTGCGCAATTAAAATTGTAATAAATAATTGAATTTTATCAGAAATTTATAAAAACTAAATTAAAAAAATATGATATTCGGAGCATATTTAAAAGGAAATATGCGTAATCTTAACTCAATTTTGAGCGCTAATATTAGCAATTTGTAAACGATTTTCAGATGTGAGCAAAAGTTTATGTAAAGTTTACAGAAGAAATGAACAATAAAATAAAATTTTGTAAGTGAAAAAAGAGTATTACTTACATATTTCAATTCACAATAAATGAAGTCATAGAAGTGCAATTTTTTTGGAGAATCACACTTTTATACTTATAATAATTATATTTCTCTTCCAGAATCATCAATAATCAAATATTATTCTGAAGCTATTATGCAAATCGATTCAAAATTTACAATTGTTAATGTGATTATGATGAATTGCAATAAAGCAAATAATATCAAAGAAGTCAAGCAAGTTGACACATTTTGTATTATTATGGAAATTTAGCAACGAAAAGCTAACACAGAAAGATGCAGTATGACAAATATTATTGTAAAAAATACTTG